CATTCAGGTTGAAGGCACAGAAGCACAAGGTCTAACATGGAAGCGATCCTAGTGTAGCTTAGAACAACAAGAGGGCAATCTTGCCAACTGTCCAGGCTGTACATGTCTCCTGGAGGTCCAGTGACCTGGTTCCATGTCACAGACAGGGCCTGGCATCCTGCCCAGTCCTGCAGACCTAGCGCCTGATTCCCTGGATATCATGCGCCTACTTGTGGACTCCGGCTGTAGGAGACTTTACCTTTGTGGGGCTCAGCAAAGGAGCGAGGTCTGAATCACCACTGTCTCCAAACACCAGACCTCCATCTCCTCTCTAGTGTGTCCGGTTCTCCTTCTTTTTCGGGCTGCTCCCCAGAAGTCTGTCCTTGCTCTGCCCCCCTCCGCATAGTAAAACCATGCAAAATACTCAGCCTTGAGAAGAAACAAAAGCAAGACATGGGACATGAATGCTTCAACCCTGAAGAAGGGGAAAGAGGGAGAAACACAACAGGAGAGCAGACACAAGTATGCTTCTTGCTCCTTCCCCAAATAGGCACACACATACATTTTAGGGAACTAAGATGTGATTAATTTAGGAGATAGAAAAAGATGCAAGACCAAACATACTGTACTGAAAAACTGTTCAATTTTTTAACAGTATGAAAAGTGGAGAAGATATTGCTGGAAAGTGGAATTAAAATCTCAGACGTGAGGAGACATTGCGCTAATGATTGATGCTTCTGTTTCTGACCTTGACATGATATAGGATCTTAACACAAAGCTGCTTAAGAAATTATGAAATTCAAATATGGGAGAATTTTCTATAAGTAAATATACCTAAGCATGCGGATTAATTTAGATCCAGGAATAATTTTTCTTGACATATGGAAAACCAATAACTCTTCTAATGGTGATTATTTTGGTAATATCAATGCCTGATACAAAGATGTATATAAAAACGTTTCAAGTTTGTTTATGTTAAGACTCTGAATAGTCTAAATAATGCATGATTTAAAACTGAAAAAAAATATTCCTTAGGCCCTAAGAATTAATTACAGAGTATTCTTCCCTTTCTCTCAATGTTTCAATTAAAACAAAACAAACACAATACTTGGAAAGTAATGGGGAAGAGCTGGGCTGCGTCAATAGAGACAGACCATGACCTCCAGGAGACAGACTGGGAATGGAGGAGAGAGTATAATGTGAAAATAAAATGAAAAGGGAGAGAGATCAAGAAAACGATACTCTGCGGGGAATGGAGGATCATTACAGATTAACTCGAAGGAGCGGCATGATTAGGGTCTTAGCCAGGGTGTATGAAAATCACACTAGAGCAGATGGGGCACTCAAAACCAGGAAGAGAAATGGATGTTGGGTCCTTCCAGAACACCCGAGAAGTACTAAATCTTTCGGTCCATTACTGACAACAGGAAAAGCCTATTACAAATTACCTCTTGAAAAGCTGTTTCTCCCTTGGCATAAAGTAAATTTCTGAAACTGGTTGTGAAACACCTCCAACTTCCTTGGAGGTCTTGGTTTTTCTGAGACCTAATTTGTGTTGTACCTGTTCTTCTTTTGTCTATAAAATAATCAGCTTGGCATTTGTTAACTATTCTATCTCTTGCATGAATTATTTATAGCTATAAGTTATACTTGTGGCTGAGAAAAGGGGGAAGTCAAAAAATTATATAGGGTCATTTAACAACTCGATCATGTATTTTGGAGATACAGTATTGGAATATATATATTTTTTCTAAAAATGTTCAATATTAGGGAAGTTGGTTATAACTGAGATTTTAAAAAGTTACAGAAGTCTTTTTTTAATGACAGACTTGTTTTGTGAGGTATTATTGTAAAAATGTAACTTAGCTATTCAAGTATCTGTTAACATAATATTTCTCCCCCATAGAGACAAATATTTAAAATTTGTTTCTACTTAGTGGTTCCATTCTCCTCTGCATGCCCCCAACCCCCATGCTCCTACTACCCCACTCTCAAATAAATAAAATCTTTAAAGAGAAAAAAAAAAAAAGAAAAATCTACCCACAATGGTAAATATTTGCATGAGTATCTTTTCACTATATGGACCTAGTCCAGACTTTTAAATTAAGGACCAGTATAATCAAATGCCTATGAAACATCTCTTTACATGTGTCAAAATTTCTCCAAACATATGATTTATTCTCTTCCAGGACTTATTCATCTCCAAAATGTTCTCTTACTTAGTATATAGAGGTACTGTGAGCTTACTTTCCCCAAGATAAAAACAAAGGAATCACATTTGATGACTTTGTCTTTATACAATTGATCACCCAGTTCCCTTCATTTCACTTCTAAACTATATCTTGCGCATCCATCCATGTACTCTCCATCTCAATTTTCCTTCTGGATGTGGCCCTTCACATTGGCCATGAAACTGGACCCAGATGGATGAATGTCCATCCTCTACTGGCCCCTCCAAACAATTCTACACACAGTACCTTAAAAATGTTTTGAAAATGCGAATTTGGATATGTTGTCCCAATTTTTTATAAGATAGCACAATTCTTATCAGCATCTTAAGTTTCTGTGAGAATCAGCACCTAGTGATGATTCCTGGCATTTCTACCCTCTTTCTATCAGTCTGTATTCCCACCAGTGTGACTATGATGACGCCCACCTCAGGGGATTTGCATAAATCTTTTACTTAACTCAGAATATTCCAGCAACTTTGACCCCCACTGCCTTTGCTTAGTCAAAAGCATTAACCCAGCTGACCTCAGCTCAGTGACCCCACATGAAATTTCAACTCTCCTTGTAGCATGCTTTCTTATATACTCATGTCTTATATTTCAAGGAAATATTAATATTCAATGCAATAGTTTTGAGCCAAATCCCTGAGGCCAGGTTCGTGGTGTTTGCTCAATCTTTGTGTCCATAACAAACAGCAGAGTGCTTGGTTTAACATAGATGCTAAAGTATTTCTGAACCAATGAATCTGAAGGAATGGGAGATTGAATCAAAGGACATCACATTTCAACCTTAGAATAGTTATCTATTCATTACATTCCCCACATTCTGGCTACTTAAACTCATTGAGTCTTTTCCCATCCTCTAAGAATTCAACCTTACCACTTATGATTCTGTCAGATATTAGTATCCACTTTGATATTACAAAATGAAAATAAATGAAACCATTTATAATGTAAAACTACTTAGAACCAAATACAAAGGTAGAAAGGAACTGGATATCACCCATTAAAATATATTTACCATTTCTGCATAAACAAGAAAGTAATTTGGTGTGTTACAAGTTGACTGGGGTGGAACTTAAGGCACAGCATGGAGGACATTAGGAGAAGGAAGGGAAAAATGAAGGGGGGGTAATCAGAGGGGGAGATGAACCATGAGAGACGATGGACTCTGAAAAACAAACAGGGTTCTAGAGGGGAGGGAGGTGGGGGGATGGGTTAGCCCGGTGATGGGTATTAAGGAGGGCACGTTCTGCGTGGAGCACTGGGTGTTATGCACAAACAATGAATCAGGGAACACTACATCAAAAACTAATGATGTCATGTATGTGGACTAACATAACATAATAATAGGAAAAAAAAAGTTGAATGGGTACTACCAGCCCTCCCTAAAGGGGAAAAATACTGTAACGCATGCAATATAATGCATGCATATCTCTTATGAAATGACTTTAATAGCAACAAAGTGTGCTGCAACTTGTTTAAAAGAAAAATAAGGGGCACCTGGGGGGCTCAGTTGGTTAAGCGTCCGACTCTTGGTTTCAGCTCAGGTCATGATCTTGAGGTCCTGAGATCAGGCCCCACATAAAGCTTCCTGCTCAGTGGGGAGTTTGTTTGAGATTCCCTCCCCTCCCCCTCCCCTTCTGTCTCTCTCTCTCCAAAATAAATAAATAATTTATTTTTTTAAGATTCTGTCAGGGGGAGAGAGAGAGAGAACACAAGCAGGGAGGAGGGGTAGAGGGAGAAGCAGGCTCCCTGCTCAGCAAGGAGCCCAACGTGGGACTCGATCCCAGGACCCTGAGATCATGACTTGAGCTGAAGGCAGATGCTTAGCCAACTGAGCCACCCAGGCATCCCAATAAACAAAATCTTAAAAAAAAAAAAAAAAAAAGGGAAAAGAGACACTTGTCTATCATACAGGAAAAAAATGAGCGAAGCGCAGCTCTTCAGGGCACTTTCTCGGCTTTGGTAACTGTGCCCCCTCCCTTACGACACTGACCATTCTGTCTGTGGGCCTCTCGCTCCCTCCATGGGAGAGAGAAACGAAAACAAAAACAAAACACATCACAGTGCAAATGGCAAGTTCTGCTCTTATTTGCAAAATTTATAAGAAATGATGCTTATAAAACTAAAGCAGGAGCCTGCTGTATAATAAACTACACTTTTAGTGAATAGGACTTTTCTGTAGTGACAAAAATGTAAAGATCAGAGAAAGAAAGAATTTGGTTTGGATAGAATACATTGTATTTTCTTTGCCACAAACTATAGTACAAAATCTGCAGTCCTGTACTTTGTAATTCATTCAATAACAAAGGGATCTTTGTTTTGATTATAATGAAAAAAAAGTTTGTTCAAACACTGATTAGATACCCTACAAAACAGAGACATGTGGTTCTCTATTATGTGTAGTAACTATGACAATGACAACTTTTTTATTTTTTTAAGTGGGCTCCCCGCCCAATGTGGAGCCCAGTGCAGGACTTGAACTCATGACCCTGAGATCATGACCTGAGCCGAAACCCAGTCAGCTGCTTAACTGACTGAGCCACCCAGGAGCCCTAACAAGGACTTTAGAAATGCTTTTATAATTAAAATGACCTCCAAGGACCACAGTGTACAAACGTTTTCTACTATAAGACATACTTAAAACCATTAATCACCGCCCTGTCCTCAGTTATACTGAGTCAGAGCTAAGTTTTCTCACATTAATACTGCCTATCTGCGCTGTCTTGACCAGTGGGTTCGAAACAGAATACCATTTTTTTTTTCTTTTTCTTTCTCCTACCACAGGGAACGAGTCCACCTCGGTGCCCTACTGAACACATTTACGTTCCTTGTTCATTACGGAGACCTGGCAAACACAGACACAACTTAATGGGAGGTCACCAACGCACGTGCAGGTGGGTCTGCGTCCTGCATGTGGTTCAGGATACTGTGGAAGTGCATTCTGCTGGGCAGCACCGCTCCCGACAGAGGCTGTGTCTGTCAGGGTCCCAGCAGAAACAGGGGGTACATTCACACTGGGCAATTTGAGGGAAAGTTAATAAGGATGCTGTTCAGAGGATGTGGGCAGAGAACAAGGATGCCGCGGGGGCAGGTGTTGTGCCCAGAAGCTAGGGAGGGTGGCTCAATTCTCATCCTCCTGTGGCCCATGGGCTGGAGCCCGGTTCGCTTCTCCTTAGCCTACCTTTGTGACAGCACCCGGTATGGTGGACAGTGTTGTGCACAACACCGGCCATTCATTTGTGATCTGAGAAATTCTCTGGGGCCACGGGAGGTGTCTGGGAAGAAACTGCAGGGAAATGCAGGGGAGCTAACCATCCAGGAGCAACGGGGTTGGGGTGAAATTTGGTTTAAGGATCCAGGGTGTCCACCGTCAGAGAGAAAATCCGAAGAGCATGCTGTATGGTTCTAGAGGCTTGAGCTCCAGAAGCTCAAAGTGTTAACGAGGTCAATAACACACTTTTTATTGACTTCTCCTCCTATCTTGTCCTGATGGTTTAGGGTAACTCCTGACTAAGCTACCTATACCAGAGTCCTTAACTCGGGTCTCTGTGAGGGAAACCAACATCAGATACCACCTTGGGCCCTCAGGCATAAGAATAAAGAGCACCTACAGGAACTCGGGAGAGCAAGAACTTGGAGCAGATAGAAGCCTTAACATTTAGTCAAGGAAGGCGTATGCCTACGTCTACTCTCAAGAGAGAGAAGGGAGACAGATGCCTCTACTTCACGCTCTTTCTTCTCTCAAGACTGCTGGTGTTCTCTGTTGCCTGAATCACCTGAAATCCGAACAAGAGCTCCCATCCACCTCTCTCCTACATCAGCCAAAGAGCAAAGGCACAGATGGATCGTGGTCAGTGCAGAGGGGCCCACATCCCAGACCCAAATCAAGCGTGCCTCCTCCTGGTCTCCCCCAGCGACCCCAGCATGGTGTAACTGGACCATGGCTCTTACAGGAACACAGTATGCACTTAAAATGAAGCTGGGAAAAATAACGCAAGGATCCTCACACCTCTGTAGGCTGAACATCTTTTTCCTATGTCTTAGGATGAACTAAAATCCGCTATTCTCTAGAGAGTGCAGAAGAGAAGGGTGCTGACCAACAGAACAACTGGAAATGTTTCAGCTATATAAAAAAATACACTTTGTTGCCTGACAGCATAATACGCAGGCGTTCAAAAGCATATATGAAAATCAGAGGCCTTCTTATATAAGCATGTTTGGCTGACAGCAGACTATTCTCTATTATGGCCAAGAGAAGTTGCCTAGTGATATGTTTCTGGAGCATTAAATAGTCAACAGATAATTATCCAGTAGCTGCCACGTACAGCTCAGCATGGGGGACAGGACAGACCTACACATACATTTCCAGGAGTCAAGACACGGCAGGATGGTGCACCCCAAGGCCTGTTTGAGGTGAGCAAGAACTCAGGGGTGCAGAGGCCAAGAGTTCAGTGGTTTGGTGGCTGGAGGATGAAGAAAATGTTACAGCAATGATCACACTTAAATTGTACGTCAGAGCAGTCAGCCGACACTCTTCAGTTTGGATCGGCCGGTTTTTAATTTTATCTATCGCACTCTGAATACCCAGAGTCCTGCGTCCAAAACGAACTCAAACATCAAAGGAAACATCAAGGTGATATTTATGTCTGCCCTCCCCAGTATTAGGACGGGATAGACACTGGAAAACTGGGGACTTACATGGAAGTAAATCTGCGGTAAAAACATACACATCTTGGAAAGTAAGGGATTAAGTAGTAAGTGATCAGGTTCCAAGAACAGCCCAGAAAATGCAGAGGTGAGGGCAAGTTGATAGCAGAGAGAACTTCACAGAGAATCTGAAACCATAGGGTTTTTCAGGGATCCATGAAGACGTGGAAATCCTGGAGTATTCTAAGATGGCTCCCGCATTTCTATACCACCAAAAATCTGTGTGAGAAAGTTTATCTCCGATGAGGAGTTAGAAAATGATTGTAACAGCACATGGATATGGAAGTAAATGTCCCGGGGTGAGGATGGAAGTTTGGGAAAAGGAAAGGAGCCCTTGATGGAGGCACTCTAAAGAAAGGAAACACATGTTATCTCTGATTTAGACTTGAGGGCTAAATACTTTTACAAAATAGCTGTTAGAATAATGTGATACATATAACTTCTTCTGCAAACACATTTGGAACATTCTGTGGACAGTCATGCTAGAATTTGTAATATTCCCCAATTATTTCATCTCAGTGATATAGACCTTGTACCAAATGGAATATTATGGACTTCTCTTAGACTTCAGAACAACAAAAAAAAATGACATGATTTAATATACCTTTCCTTCCTCAACAGAAACATCAGTTACCAAGTATCATAACAAAAACCACAACATTATCAATTCATAAGATCCCGTAAGTAATTTTATTATTTTAATGAAAAAACTTATTTTGTAAATATTTATCACTGTAAAGAAATACTCCAGATCTTCTTTTAGTATAAGATCCTGGTGTCTGTCATTAACAGAATCTTGAAACTTTAAAATTCCACGTGCCCTAAGGGCCAATTCCTTCTGAATATAAAGCAATAAATTGACTTCTACTGAAGTTAAATTAAAATAAATAAGTTAATGCAATAAACCTTAACCTCTAAATTCAAATTTCCTACACAAAATTTACACCTAAATATTTAACGATCACTTCAAATATAACACAGAAATTGAACTCGTATTTTTGTTGCAAGCCTCCTTTGGCATTTAGGAGACAATCCTTCACGGTTTTCTTGCAGTTTGCATGACTTGCAAGGAGGCACTGACTGTCCTTTCTTCCTCACTCTATTTTTCAGGTTGATTTGCAGAGTGAGCAGCTTAGAAGGGAGGAATATTGTTTCACTCTGTAACCTAGGCAGCATCCTTCTCTTGTTGTACAGTAATGATACCATCTCCTTCTGGGAGGAGAGGACAGGCATACCTACTCCTAGTTACAGAAGGTTCCAGCTTCCTAAACTCAGCCTTCCTCTCCTGAAACACAAGCCACTATGTGTGCAAGTGTCACCTTGCCTCTTCACATTACCCTTTGGAACTGGAAAGCTAGCACAGATATTCTGATGCTGTAGTGAGCAACAAACCACTCTTGGTCTCTACGTTTGGACTCCTCGGTGAGCTCCCAGCACCCATGCAGCTGTGGCTAACTTGTTACCTTGGAAGCCAGGTGACAACTTCGACCCTTGTACTTGTCAGCACGGCTCTGCACTTCGATAGATTAATCCAGTCTTATATTCTCAAAACTAAAATCATCTGTAGTATCATGTTGAGGTGGGATAATTCCTGCCCCAATATTTAATGTAATGTCAATAAATAGATATTAAGAACAAACACATGACTGTAAGACAAACATGACGTGTGTAACTAGAGGAGAAGTCAGAGAACCTCTTTCATGACTCTTGGATTCCCGGTCAGATCAAGGTGGTATCAAGGGGGTCACACAATAGTGATACAGAGAATTTCTTGAGAGAAAGTCATTATAATATGTCCTTCCTCCTGCTCAAAGAAAGGGGTAGTGGTTGCCATGTTCACACTCAAGCCCAGTGTTTACACTTTTTGGCTCTTTGGGGTCTCTCTTGGAGACAATCCCGGCAGGTGTCTGAGTCCGTGTGGTGGTCTGAGGTCAGTCGAGAAACTGGTTAACTGTTCTTGGCAGAGGCAGTAAGTTCTGTCCTTCTAGAGTTACAGAGACAACCGTCTCCTTCCCATGAGTCCAAATTGGGCCTCTCAGAAGAGGAAACCAGGCTGATGCATTTCAGTGATGTATTTCCCGACAAAACCTTCTGGGGGGATAAAGGACCTCAACACCAGTCTGAGTGGGATAGCTCACTCATGAACCAAAAGTTGAGCGTAAAAACCCAGTCACGGGAAACACAGAGACAGCATTAGCAACATATGGGGTCCAGTTGTAGAAGTCCTTGTGACAAGAATCTTTAATTCACAAAAGTGCCCCATGAGAGGAAGAGTTAATACAAACCTCCTAGAGGCCAGAGAACTCAGTGCTTTCAGCAGGGAAGAAATGTTCCTGATGTACCCCTTCTCTCTCCCTTCATCTCTCCCCAAAGGGGCTCAAGCCACAGTCATTTTCGAGGGAGGGAAACCAGAAAGAGAAAAGGAGGATGAAGTTTCTCTCTAATCTACGGCCCTGGTTGAGGCAGCACCCCGTTTAGTAGCAGAGGAGGGAAATTTTATATTAAATTACATCTGATTTTTTTTTTAATCACAACACAGTACTGGGTATTCTTACTTTCAAACTGAAATAGGTTATTACCTGAGGGCTTCGAGAAAATTAATGGGTCTATGAGGCGCCCGGGTGGCTCGGTCGGTTAAGCCTCTGAACTCTTGGTTTCTGCTCAGATCATGACCTCAGGGTCCCGGGATCCAGCCCTGTGTGTTGCTCTGAGCTCAGTGGGGGTCTGCTTGAGATTCTCCCCCTCGACCCCTCCCCCGCTCACACACGCTCACACACACATGCGCTCTCTCTCAAATAAATTAATAAATCTTAAAAAAAAAAAGAAAATTAATGGGTCTACCAGTTTTATCTCAGGATATCAAATGGCCATACTCCAATGAACAGATTTTAAAGAATTCATGAGAGTGAAATTGTATTTTGATATATCACTGATCTTGCTCATTAGTATATACCTTACACACCCACATGACACCGTGACCCCAACCACGTGTACCGTAATCCAGTCAGGCATTTAAAGTCTTCCTTCCTCTCTTCCTTCTCTTTTCTATAACTCTACTCTATACTTTTCAGTTACTGATTTTGAATAAACTTTTAATTCAAGCTCTCATATTGAGCACTTACCATGCAGACTACTCTATGCAAATCGGGACATTTAGAAGCTTACAAATGGCTTCCCTCCCTCCCTTTCCAGCACGAACTCCTGTATTTTCATCAGAGGACAGGCTGAAGGGTGGAGTGGAGGTAACTAAGGATGCAGAGCAACACCCACAACGATGAGGCGCAGGATGTGTCTGCGTGGACCCTTCTCCAGCACCGTCTTTCATAATGTGAACTCTGTCAGGCTTCTCAGTGGAACTTTCCTTGATGAACCCTGACAGAAGTATTCTTGCCCTTAAAAATACTGGCAGAATATGATTTAAAAAATTATGTGTGTGTGTCTGTGTTTGTGTGTGTGTGTGTGGGTGTGTGTCTGTGTTTGTGTGCATGTCTGTATATCTGATAGAAAAGTATCAGACTCTTTTCAGAATAAGAACATAAATGTTCTGTCTATGGATCTGCATTCTGGGTCCATGGGTGTGTTTAGCTAGTGAAGATGCAATCATTTATATAAATCTGCAAGCTTTTCTAGAAGTACACTGAGCATCCGCATCCGTAATGCTTTTAAAAAACCTGCCACCACTTGTGAAGCAAACTACAGTTTAGAAGTAATGAACGGGTCTAAACTGTTCCACCTGTTCTTACAGTTTAAATCAAGTCAATTTGGGGCATATTTTAAAATCATCTACTCAAGGAAAAGGACCTTCTTAAGATGTTTGTTTTTATTTGATGAACTACTAAAATGAGAATTTCAGTATTTTCCACAGCTTTTGAATTCCTCACACTTTTAATGGTAGATTTTATGGTTTAAAGTGGTAATTGATTTTGAATAATGATTATAGTTTTAATCAATTTATAAGTGATATCTAAACATATACCACTAATTTGGTAAAGTAAATTAATACTCAAATCAAAAGCATAATGCATAAAATTCTAATTGCAATTTAAGATCATTGTCAACAGAAAAGCCGTATTTACATCTTAATACAAAACACTTGAAATACTGAATATTTTACATGTAAAGGGTGGGTAAATTTCAGAATTACATCAAATGAAAAATAAACACATATTCTTGAAAGATGCTATAATATAAACAGTCAGTATTAATAAAAAATATCTAGGTAAACTATTACCCACTCCTCTCAGGCACATGCACAACCAAGTACCAAGATAAAAGGCAATACCTCCACTCTTTAGATCTCATTATTTGAAATGGAAACCTATTTGTTTCCTGCCTTCTAGAAAGCCAATTATTTAGATATTATTACACTGAATACACTGTTCTCTGGTTAGTTGCATTCAGAGACATAGTCAAAAATACCCTGTGTATATCATGTGTTTGTGTGCATGTAGTCTTTTTCCGTGATTCAAACATAAACCACAGACCCACATATCCAACTTTGTATTAAATATTATAACTTATATATCACTTTTTTTTAAAGATTTTATTTATTTATTTGAGAGAGAGAGAGAATGAGAGATAGCATGAGAGGGAAGAGGGTCAGAGGGAGAAGAAGACTCCCCGCTGAGCAGGGAGCCCGATGTGGGACTCGATCCCAGGACTCCAGGATAATGACCTGAGCCGTAGGCAGTTGCTTAACAAACTGAGCCACCCAGGCGCCCTATATATCACTTTTTTTTAAAGATTTTATTTATTTATTTGATAGAGAGAGACAGAGCGAGAGAGGGAACACAAGCAGGGGGAGTGGGAGAGGGAGAAGCAAGGTCCCTGTGGAGCAGGGAGCCCGATGCAGGTCTCGATCCCAGGACCCTGGGACCATGACCTGAGCTGAAGGCAGACACTTAACGACTGAGCCACCCAGATGCCCCATAACTTATGTATCTCACTGGCATATCAGATGCAGCTAGTTTGAAACTAAACTCATCTTCCTGTTTCTTCCTCTATTTACACCATCTTGAAAAAAATGGCATTACCGTACATTTGATCAATGGATCCAGAAATCTGGGAATTGTCCTGATTCCATTATATTCCTTAAAGATCACATCTAATTGGCACCTAATCCCATTAGGTCTACTTTTATAAATTTACAAATGTGGTTCTCTCCTGCTAACCCCATTGCTAAAGCTCTGCTTCATTCCAGGTTTTCATTATTTCTATTCTAGACTTCAGTGACAACCTCTTCACTTGGCTTCCTGCCGACAGTCACTGCTGTTCCTCCCCGATTCATTCTCCAGGCTGTGGGGACACCCTTTCTTGTTTTTTGTTTGCTTTCCAAAAATCAAAATGGGATTCCTGACAGCAGAATCAGATTATATCAGCCTCTACTTAAAAATCCCCGGTGTCCATGGAATTAAAATCTAACCACTTTAGGAGGCATGCATGCCTTCTCCCCTGTATCTCCAAATGCTTTTGCATGACAATTTTCATATACTATGCCACAGTCATAGAGCCAATTCTAGAAGCTTCACAGTTCAGTGTATGTGTGTCCTTGCATCTGTGTGTTGGGAGACAGTGACAGGAGCAGAGAGATGCAGAGAGAGATGGAAGGAGGGAGAGGATATAGGAAGAGAAGAGACATGAACAGTCAGAAACCAAGATGTCACTGGGGCTCCATCTGCCTCCTGAGACTCCCACTGACTTCCACTCTCTCCTATTGTCCAGAATTTCTACAAGGACCACGTTAGTTCTACCATACGAATACATATACTTGTTTGTATATGCAACACATATCTATGTATACAGTATTAAGCTATTTATAGAACTTCCAGGTTCTTAGTTTATAATAAGACTTACTTGGTCAGTAAATGGACACTGACTTTGGGACAAATTACGTAGATTAAGTAGAGTTTAGTATCACTTATTTTTATATCTTTAGAGGAGTTGTAAGACACATACTTTATCAGATACCATATGATTAGAATTCAATTGCAGTGTATTCTGACTTTATGCTTTTATTAGGGGTTTCATGAATAAAATACTTTATCCAATACAGTGTGATCAGAATTTAAAAATTCATTTTTGATGTTTCCGATATCTTAAAGAAGTGTTCTACAACATGACATGAAAAGATTCACGCAATGTAGGTAGAAATCAAGTGTAGGGGCGCCGGGGTGGCTCAGTCGGTTAAGCGGCTGCCTTCGGCTCAAGTCATGATCCCAGGGTCCTGGGATCTAGTCCCAGGTCAGGCTCCCTGCTCAGCAGAGAGCCTGCTTCTCCCTCTCTCTGTCTGCCACTCTGCCTACTTGTGCTCTCTCTCTCTCTGTCAAATAAATAAATAAAATCTTAAAAAAAAAATAAATCAAGTGTAATAGAAATTCAGAGTCAATAA